TTAAAAACAAGTCTCCTTTCTCAGGTCTTTCATCAATAACACTTCTCTTTCAATCTCCTTGCTCAATCCTTGTCTGCAAAAATGGCAGAAGCACTTGTTTCCGCAATCTTACAGCAGATAACAACAATCATCTGTGAAGGAGCTCTAGAGGAAGTGAGACTACTGAGGGGTGTTAAGGGAGATCTGAGAAACCTCAAAAACAACCTTACATCTATCAGAGCTTTGCTTAAAGATGCTGAGGAAAAGCAAATATCAGAGGAACCTGTCAAGGTATGGCTAGATCGGCTCAGAGAAGAATCTCTTAACATGGGGGATGCTTTGGATGAGTGGAGGACCGTACTCCTGTATCGGCGAACTGATGGAGCTGAGGAAAGTGCTTCTTTTCTTCAGAGGACGGTATGTGTTTTCCTCAGATGTTTTTCTTTTCATCCTATTAGATACCGTGGCATTGCTCGCAACATAAAGAAAATCAATGGAAGGTTAGATAAGATTGCTGAGGATAAAGATAGGTATCGGTTAACAAGCACTGCAATGATCAGTAGACTAACAAGACAAAGAGAAAGCAAATCTTTTATTGATGAGTCAAGCTTGCTTGGTCGAGATGATGTCAAGAATGAAATAATCAGCCATTTGTTGTGTGAGCCTAGCGAAGAAGAAGAGGGTAGCCCAATCCAAACCATCTCTATAGTAGGGATAGGAGGTCTTGGTAAGACTGCTGTCGCCCAACTGGTCTACAATGATGAAAATGTTAAACAACATTTCAGTTGTGTCTGGACACATGTTTCTGAAAATTTTGATGAGAGAAAAATCGCAAAAGATATCATTGTAGGGCTTCAAGGCCGAGAAAAACAAGCAACCCTCCAGTCGTTGGAGTCATTTTCATTAGATGCTGTTTTAGATAATGTTCACAAATCCATAGAGGGAAAGAAGTACCTTCTTGTTCTTGATGATGTATGGACAGAAAATGATAAAGATTTTGAAGGACTGAATGCTACTTTCAAATGTGGTGCTCCGGGTAGTAGGATACTGGTGACTACACGTAAGAGTACTGTTGCAAGAATTATGGGAAGTTCACACACCTTTCAGTTAAATACCTTGAGCCCAGAGATATGTTGGTCTATCATTAGGAATATAGCACTAAGAGAAAAGGACCAAAGGACTTGTGAGGAGTTCAAGCCTGTTGGATTCAAAATTGCAGAAAAGTGCAGTGGTTTGCCGCTTGTTGCAAAGACTGTGGGAGGCCTTTTGCGGTTTAAAACTAGCATACAAGGGTGGGAGAATGTTTTGAATAGTGAGTTGTGGAGAATGGAAATGGTACATAAAGAAGTTTTTGTTCCTTTGTTGTTGAGTTATTATGATCTGCCCTCACCAGTAAGACAGTGTTTTACATATTTTGCTTTCTATGCTAAACGCACGAGTCTCAGTGTTTGTCATATGATTTCAGTCTGGATGGCACAAGGTTGCTTAGGCCTTGATGATGATAATTCGCTATTGGAACAAAAAGGCGTTGAGTACTTCCAGTACTTAATGGATCGCTGTTTCTTCCAAGATTTTAAGACTGTAAATCAACATCTTCATTGTAAGGTACATGATTTGATAAATGACTTTGCTTTCTTTTTGACGAGGGGAGAGTGTATTAGCTTGGAGGTCCCCGAAGGTAATAGAAGTTTAACAATGAACCGAGAAAGAACTCCTCGACATTTGACAGTGAGGGTGAAAAAGGGTTTCCATTTTCCTGAATTCATTCCTGATGCAGAAAAATTGCGAAGTGTTGTGAGTCATGGTAGTGATGATCATGCTCCCATCAGTGAAAGAGCCATGCGTAATTTGTTTAATCAAGCTAGACGCTTAAGGGTGGTTGATATGGGGTGGGGATATCATGGTTCAGCTATTCCAGAAGAAATAAGAAACTTGTTGCATTTGAGATTCCTTAACTTGAGTGCGTGCAGAAACCTTAAAAGCTTGCCAAAAGCACTCTTCAGATTACACAATTTGGAACATTTGAATTTGTGGGCCTGTACTAATCTTGACAGATTGCCTGATGAGATAGGAAATTTAGTCAACTTGAAGCTTCTTCGTACCACAGGCTGCCTTCAATTAGCTTGCTATCCAAAGGGAGTTGTGAGATTAACTGGACTCACACAATTATTGGGGCTCATTGCGAGAGTTGATCGTGACGATCCTGGGGAGTTTAGCATTGGAGATCTAGCAAAGTTGAATAGTCTTCTCGTGCTTTCTATGAAAATAGTGGGAAATACAATCAATGTAGGCGAGGCTAAAAAGGTGAAGCTTCAAAATTTGCAGGAGGTGAAGATATTGGTGGATGGGGACATAGCGGAAGCTGAACATGTCATACTTGAATCCTTAAACATGTCCTCTGTACCAAGG